CGTATGTTCCCCCATCTTCCGGGCATCGGCGACGAATGGTGTCTGAGAGTGTGCTTTTCCCCCTCCCCCCAGGAGGGGAAGCCGCCGAGAGCCGAGGCCCGCGCGGGGCCCCGCGCCCCAGGCGGTGCGGACAGCCCGGCCACCGCCTCCTCGCCGCGGGCCCGCGGGGCCGCCGCTGCCCTCCCAGGGAGGGCGGCCGCCAGGGCCACAGGACGGGCAGGGGGGGCCCGGCGCCGAGAGGGGAGGGGCCGGCCGCGACCACGCGCCCGAGTGGGTGCGGGACGCCAGGCCGCCAGGGCGGAAGGCGCCGCCGTGGGGAGGCGAGACGCCAGGCCGCCAGGACGAGAGGACGAAAGGCGCCAGGCCGCCAGGACGAATTGCAGGCTCCGAGAGCACCGGGCATGCGGGGCGCTTCCTGGGGGCGGCGTCGCCGTCGTGGGGGGGTTCGCGCGGGACGGGGGCAGCATCGACGGGGCATTCCTCCGCAAGGGCCGAAACAGTCAGGAAATGCATGAACTAACTGCGCAAGCTCCGTGAGCGAGTACAGGGAGGGCAGGGGCAGAGCAGTCGCAGGCATGCGCGGCCCAGGCCCAGGGCGGGAGAGCGTCCAGCCCCCAGCCCGCCCCAGTCACGCAATCTGAAGGGCTGCTGCCCTAGCACTGCAGGGAGAGCTGATTTGCCATGCAGCGACGTAATTACGTAAGCGTCGTCGTCGCTGACCAGGGGGGCCAGAGGCGGGCCCAGGGAGGTCGGGGCCGAGCCACACGGGTGAGACGTCCTGGACGTCAGGGCCGGCAGGTGGCGCCAGAGGCGCAGGTGGTGGGCCTCCGCTGCTGCTGCCGGGGGCTGTAACGGCAGAGAGGTAAACAGCGCTGGAGGCCGCGCCACCCGTGGGAGGAGGAGCACGGGGAGGGGGCCAGCGGGGAAGAAACGACAGGTGAGACAGGTGGCGGCAGACGATTGCAGGTGGGCGTGCAGCTGTGAGGGGCAACGTTAGGGGAGGGAGGCTGGCATAGGGGGGGCACATCGACCCAGAATCGGCGATACATCGCGGATAGATCGGCGATAGGCCTGCGATAGCTGATCCGCACGGCCATCTTGAGCTATCGGGCCCCGATCGGCGATCCATGGGCGATTGGGGTCCATGCGTCCCCCGCTGTGCCTAGACCCCTCTATCGTTGCCCCTGAAGATGGTGCAGGCAGAGGGGGAGGGGGAGCAGGGGGCGCGGGCTCCGGGCTCGCGCTAGAGAGGCGGCGGCCAGGGCGCACCTGTCGGACACGGGCTGGCGGGCACCAGGGGCGCCAGCCCGTGGATGGGGCGCTGGAGGCGCCCACGACGGGAGGACGAGAGGACGCATCGGCCGAGCTGCCGGCGGGGGTCTCCGAGGCGTCAGGTACTGAGCGGTCGTGTGGAACCGGCGGTGTGCCCGCGCGGGGAAGGGCGCCGACGGGAGCACGCGGCCGGCTGTGTACCCGCCCTGGTCTGTGGACGGCTTCGTCTGGTGTGGAGCCAGGGAACGGTCATGGAGGGAGGCGAAACGATGAACAGCACCGAGGCTTCCCACAGGAGTGGGGAACCGAGCCGAGGTAACGGTGTCCGATGCCGCTGGTCTGCACCAGGTGGCAGACGATGAGGAGGGGGTCAGACCATCGATGTGCCCAAAGGGACGGGACCTTGCCACGGCAGGGATCAGGATAATAGGAGACTCGGCAGCCCCAAACTAAGGGGAACTGGAGAGCACACACTCACACAAACACACGAACACCCACCCACCCACCCACACACACACACACACAGGCACGCACGCACGCACGCACGCACGCACGCAACCACGCAACACACACACACACACGCACGAACACACACACACACACACACACACACACACTCAACACACAACACACACACACACACACACACGCACACACACACACACACGCACGAACACACATACACACACACACAACAAAAACATAACACACACACAAACACACACACACACACAACACACACACACGAACACACACACACACACACACAACACACACACACACACTCTCACACTCACACACACACAAAAACCCTCACACACGCACGAACACACACACACAACACACACACACACGCACGAACACATACACACTCACAACACACACACACAACACACACACACACACAAACAAAACACACACACATATACTCACGCACAACAGACACACGCACGAGCACACACACACACCACACACACACACACTCACAAACACACACACACGCGCTCACACACACACCACCCACACACGCACGACACACACACACAACACACACTCACACACACACACACACATCACACACACAACAACACACACACACACACACACACACTGACACTCACACACAACACACACACACACACACAACACACACCACACACACACACACGCGCACGCACGAACACACACACACGACACACACACACACACACACGCGCGCGCGCGCACATACAACACACCACACACACACACCACACACACACACACACACACACAACACACACCACACACACACACACACACACACACGCACGCACACACGCACACACGACGCGCGCACGCCACACACACACACCACACACACCATTCACACACACACACGCACACCACACACACACCACACACACATCACACACACACACATCACACACACACACACACCACACTCGCACACACCCACGCACACACGAACACGACACACACACACACACACACACCACCCACCAAACACAACAAGCACAACACACACACACACACACCGCACACACAACAAACACACAACACACACACCAACCACACGCACTCTCACACACACACACACACACACACACACACACACACACACACACACACACACACACATACACTCACACTCTCACACACACACACACACACATATACACACACACACGCGCGCGCGCGCACGAACACACACACACACACACACACGCGCACACACACACACACACACACAGACACACACAAACACACACACACACACACACACGGGGGTGACGCGGCGATAGTTGGCCCTCTGAGAAAGCAGGGGGGGCCTCTGAGAAGGCAGGCGGCTCCTTGGAAGCCCTCCTGGCTTCCGAGAGCCCCCCCCCCGCCTTCTTGGCAGGCCGCCCCCCCCCTTGCGCCATGCCTCTGTGCGCGCCGCCTACAGGGCCTCAGAAGGAGCGGAGAACGTCCGACCCCTCGATCCTCAAACATCGAGCCCTGACGCTGCCCCCTCTTTATCCTCCTCCTCCTCCTCCTCCTCCTCCTCCTCCTCCTCCTCCTCCTCCTCCTCCTCCTCCTCCTCGACGCTGCGGGCATGGGTACCTGTTACGAGGCTGCCTCCCCCTCCCTGGCGGCCAACGGCCAGGGAGGGCGGGAGGGTAGCACACAAAGCACGGACGAGGAGGCGCAGGAGGCGAAAGAAGAGCCCTACAGACGATGATGATGATGATGATGATGAGGAGGAGGAGGAGGAGGAGGAGGAGGGACAGGGGGAGGATGCATCCCCAGGCCGAAAGTTTTCTCCTCTTGGCGCTGAACCTCACGGTCCCACGCGGTGCACGGGACCTCTGGGAAATCATAGCGGCGAGCCCAATGAGGGTCGCACGGATCCGGTTTCCAACCTTACCGTAATCGTGAAGCCGCGGCGGATCCCATTTCCGTGCGCGCGGGTCCCGTTTCTGATGTTTGGGATCCGCGTCGGACCCTATTTGTAAGGGCGGATCCCATTTCTACCCCGTTTTGAAGAAATAATATTAAATTCGTTCTGGGAGCCGACAAGGATGGGACCCGTCGACCGCATGCCCGCCCCGTGTTAAGATTGTGCGGGGGACGGGGGTGGTCCTCTTCGACGTCACGAGAAAAATCTCTCGTCCTGCGTAAGTGCGCCAGCGCCCTGCGTCTCCCGACCCAACGGGCCCCCTGAAGTTCCCACCGCGCGGTAGCAAGCCGCGCGGCGTTCGGCGCCGCGTCTGGCCGAGCACGGATGGAGGGCATCATATTTTCAAAGCGGTGGCTGCCGCCCAAAAGCATGGTGGAGTGGACGGCGGTATCTATTCAACACGGTGGCTCACGCCCAACAACTGCGGACTGGACGGCAGCGTCTTTTCAAAAATGTCGCTTCCGCTCCAAGCGCGGCGGAGTGGAGGGCAACATCCTTTCATTCTGGTGGCTTCTGCCCCAATCACTGTGGGACGAGGACGCGTGTATCCTGGCCGCCTGGATGCTGCCTGGCCCAAGGCTGATGCAACGTCAGAAGCGCCGAGCGCATGCGAGGAAGTCTCGAACGGCAGTCCTCAAGAGCATGTGAGGAAGTCTCGAATGGAAGCCGCAGAAAAGAGATGCACCGCTTGCGGCAAAGCACAGGTCGGATGCCAAAAACGCCCATCCCCAGGCTCAAAGCTTTTTCCTCTTGGCGCTAAACCTCACGGTCCCACGCGGTGCACGGGACCTCTGGGAAATCATAGCGGCGAACCCAATGAGGGTCGCACGGATCCGATGTCCAACCTTACCGTAATCGTGAAATCGCGGCGGATCCCATTTCCGTGCGCCCAGATACCATTTCTGATTTTCGGGATCCGCGTCGGACCCTATTTTTGAGGGCGGATCCCATTTCTACCCCGTTTTGAATTAATAATATTAAACTCGTTCTGGGAGCCGACAAGGATGGGATCCGTCGACCGCATGCCCCCCCCCGTGTTAAGATTCTACGGGGGACGGGGGTGGTCCTCTTCGACGTCAAGAGGAAAATCTTTCGTCCTGCGTACGTAATGTGGATTCGTCAAACAAAAAACTACAAAGCCACCAGGAACCAGAAACCAGCAGGAGGAGGAGGAGGAGACGAAGGAGGAGGGGCAGGGGGAGAAGGGGGAGGTTGGAGCAGGAGGAGGAGGAGGAGGAGGCGGAGGAGGTGGAAGGGTCTCCCCCTCCCCTGGCCGGTGGAGGCGCTCCGGCAGCCTGCGGGCGAGCTCCGGCCCGGGGTGCTTGCTCCATCGGGAGAGCAGGCCTGCCGTGCGCGTGCTCTCGCGCGGGCGCGCGCGAGGGGAAGGGCCGGGGGGGGGGGGGGGCGTCCGAGCCTTCCGCGGAGGCCCACCCCTTCTCGCTGCCCCCCGCGCTCGCCGCCGAGAGGAGGCACGCGGGGGCGCCAGCGCGGGCAGCGAGAGACCGCCTGCCGACGGGTCGCTTTGGGCCGGGCACTCCTCGGCTGGCCCCTGCGCCTCGGGGGGGCCTCTCCGGGAGGGGGAGCCCCAAGAGAACATGAGCTCTGGCGGAGGTCCGCGCGGAGCTGTCGGGTCGGCGCTGCCCTCCGAAGGTCTGCGCGTGTGCCGAGCTTCGGTGCCCTGTCTCCCTGGTTCAAGCTGTGCGTAGCCCGCCCAGCTTTCAGCGGAAGAGGTTCGCTCTCGCCCCGCCGACCAAAAAAGTGTGTGCCGAGCTTCTTGGTAGTCCCCAAACGTGGTGGTGACAACACCTGGCGGTGAGTCTCGGGCGATTTGGTGTCACCACACGCTTTGGGGACTCGTGCAGTTTTCCGAGGATGTCCCGGACACTGGTGGGTCCAGGAGTCACAAAACCCGGTGGTGACCCCGCGTCCCCAAACCCGGCAAACCCAGCGGTGACCTTTTTGGGGGATTCCAGGTCGCCACCTGGTATCTAGGGGGAAAACAAACCTACCTCGCTTTTGACCACCCTCGCTTCCAAGAGATACCAAACGATGCCAAATTGCAGCCTGTACTGGTCAGGCCGCTTGACGGGGAGGCGCGTGGTATGGCTTGGATTTGTCTGGAAGCGAAAGCGGGGTAGGTAATTCACGCTCTGAGTATCGGGGTTCCCAAGTTTCCTCCATCGACCCTCGGGGCCCCCGGAGGCCTGTAGAGAGTCCCTCGGACATGCCGAGTCGGCAGACCAGCCGAGAGGGCCCCGCGCGTGGGGGCACGGCCCGCCCTCCGAGGCGGCCCCCCCCGCGGGCCGCTGGCTCGGCCAGCCTGGGCGGAGACGAGGGGGCCACGCGCACGGCCTCGCGCGGGCAGCTGCACGGCAAGGACTGCTGCACGTCCACCGCGCCTGGAGGGATGGACGTTCTGTGGCTGGTTGGTCCTCCACCACCACTACCACATGTAGGGCGGGGGCAAACGGAGGATGGGGAGGTTGAGGTCGCCCTCCTCCTCCTCCTCCTCCTCCTCCTCCTCCTCCTCCTCCTCCTCCTCCTCCTCCTCCTCCTCCTCCACCTCCTCCTCCTCCTCCCTCCTCCTCCTCCTCCTCCCTCCTCCTCCTCCTCTCCTCCTCCTCCTCCTCCTCCTCCTCCTCCTCCTCCTCCTCCTCCTCCTCCTCCTCCTCCTCCTCCTCCTCCTCCTCCTCCTCCTCCTCCTCCTCCTCCTCCTCCTCCTCCTCCTCCTCCTCCTACCTATGGTAGTGGTGGTGGAAAACAAGCCCACCATTTCTGCCACCATCTGGGACCCCAGGGGGGCGGTGGGTGTGGACGTTTGTGAGTCCCTGGAGGAGCCGAATCTACACTGCGCCTGGATCAGAAGCACGCGCTGTGAAGATGGAATGCTCTTTGGGCGCCCGAGTAGAAGCCGATGTGGGAAGCCCATGGCCCAGGTCTGCGTGAGGGCCACGACTGCAGTCAGCATGGATGCAAGGGCACGCTTGGAAAACCACGCATCATTTTGATCCTGCTTCACTGCATCCAGGTCCACCGCCTCTAGAAGTCTGGTAAGGCCGGATTGCCAGGCGTTGGACTCGGACGAGTCCCAGTCTCGGAGCAGCCTGCGCGCGAACGTCCGACGACGACGACGACGACGACGACGACGACGACGACGACGACGACGACGGCCATAACTGCGACGGCAGCGAGGACGGAGACGGTGGCGGCGGCGACGGCAGAGACGGCGGCGGGGGGGCGGCGGCGGCGGCGGCGGCGGCCGCGTTGAAAGCGGCGGCGGCGGCGGCGGGGCACGACGTCGACGACGACGACGACGACGACGACGACGACGACGACGTCGACGACAACGACGACGGCGGCTTCGGCGGCGGCGGCAGAGGCGATGACGACGACCATGGCGGCGGCGACGGCGGCGAGGCGAACAGCAGCGGGGTGCGCACCGCTGGCGATCTGCAGCTGCCTCTCGAGCTCGTCCGAGACGGTGGGGCGGCGTCCGATCGACGCCAGCTGCCTCCGGCGGGGCCGGGCTGGATCCAGTGCGGGGTCGGATCGGGTCGGAAGCGGAGTGGGTCGCGCCTGCATCGTCGCGGAGTCGGATCGGCATCGGCTCGCCTGGGACCGCGCATCGGGCTCGGCCCCCGCAGGCTTCGGAAGGGCTCGGCTCATGCCGCGGCTCGGACCAGATCGCGCTCGGGATGGCTCTGGTCTGAAGCATCGAGACGCCTGAGATCGGTCTGCTACGACCGAAAAACGATTCGCACTCTGCAACTTTTTGAGAGCTGATGTTGGTTTTCTCTACTTAACTCGAGCTGTAGGCAAGCTACGGCGCTGGGAAGCACACCATTCGACGCAAAATGATCAGGAGCGATTGTCTAAAAAATCGAGACGCCCGAGGGGGGCCGTACCGAATCGAATCGCCCTCCTCGAAACGGAAGACGAAGAGTCGCAACCCCGGGGAGACCCCGCGTCCGACGGGTCCTGTGGGGCACGTGGGCTCCTGCTGCGAGGGCTACGTCAGGAAGGAGCAAAAACTTGGCGGCAGGAGCCGGCGCTGGCTGGGGCGGGCGATCGGGCGAGGAGGCGGGAGGGAGGGAGGGTGAGGATCGAGGACGAGGCGAAGGTGGTGGGCTTGTATTCCACCGCCACCACCACAAGCAGAAGGGGGAGGGGGATCTCCTCCTGCCTCCTCCTCATGATCATCCTCCTCCTCCTCCTCCTCCTCCTCCGCCTCCTCCTCCTCCTCCTCCTCCTCCTCCGCCTCCTCCTCCTCCTCCTCCTCCTCCTCCTCCTTCTCCTCCTCCTCCTCCACCTCCCTCCCCCCCTCCAACTGATGGTGGTGGTGGTGGAAGACAGGCCCATCAGAAGGGGAGGAGGGGGCGGAGGGGGAGGGCGGGAGGGAGGGAGCAGGAGGCGGCCCCCCCGGGCGAGCCCGCCTGGTGACGCTGGCGCTCACGGACAGCACGGCCCCTGGCGTCCAGGCTTCGGCCGGGTGGGGGGGAGGCGAGTCGCCGCCGCGCGAGGGAGGGGGGGGGGGGAGCGGTGAGGGAGGACTCTTTTGGACTCCTGGATAAGCGCAACGTGCTGAGGAAGAGGGGAAGAGAGGGGAGGGAAAAGCCAGAACCCGCGGAGGTGGCCCTAAGGGTCCCCTCCCCCCAGCCCTTCACCCCCTCCACAAGGAGGGTGGGGAGGGGCCGTCTCAAACGGCGAGATGGTTTCGGGCTGTCGCTCAACCTCATCACGATGTGTAGCCGCGGACAGCACCCGTGCGTGAGCGAGGACGCGTGTCAACCTCAAGCGGTGAGGGAGGAGGGGGGAGCAGGAGGATGGAGGAGATGGGGCAGGCCAAGCTAGGCGCGCTCGCGCCATATCGAACACAAAGTCCCTCCCTCCCATCCCTTCCCATTGCGCTCATGTTTTCTCTATCCGCGGACGCGTGTCATAGAGGACCTGGAACTCCAACCATCGTGTCATGCGCAATGGGATACCCCCTTCCCGTACCCAGTCCCCTGGGCCTGGAAGGGGCAGGGGGCGGGAAGTCAGAGTTGCAAGATGGGCCCAAGATGGCTCCAAGAGGGCCCTTGGCAGCCCAAGACAACCTTCAAAATGGCTCAAGATAACCGAACACGTGGTGAGCACGTGTCATCCGTCAGCGCACAAGGTACGTTTCTCATATGTCTACAAGTCGACAATAACTCTGTTGTAGATTGTCAAATACATATATATAGTGTGTGTTATAAGTGTTGTGTAACGGTCTTATATGTGTTTGATCACTCTCCCGCTCCCTGCTATCACTGACATTGCAAGTTGCGTAGCTTCGTACGTGTTGACTCCAAATTGCTTCGCACCTATAAGTGACCAAGGTTGTTTGTATCGATGATCAACTTCGTTGTACATCTACGTATGGAATTAGTTAAGACCAGTACATACAAACATACTGAGTGCAAAGATCATTTAGACGCCTCCTAGATGGATCCGAGTAGATGGGGTCGGAGAATCTCGCCGCATCGCCCATAAACCGGCGATACATCGCCGATGCATCGGCCATGCACTCGCGACGTCGGCGATGCATCGGCGACGCAGTTCGAACCGCATCGGCGATGCGTCGGCGATGCGGCGCGATCCTCCGATCCCATCTACCTGGACCCTATCTAGGAGGCCTCAATATGATCCTGCACGTAGTATGTTTCTACGTACTGGTTTTCATTCCATAAGCAGATGTATAACGAAGCTGAGCATCGATATAAACAACCTTGGAAAACTATAGGTGCAAAACCATTTATAATCTACATATACGAAGCTACACAACTTACAGTGCCAATCATAGCCGGGAGCGGAGTAGTGATCAAGCACAAACCCGACCAGCCATAACTGGGGAAGCTGTGGTCCTTACCCCCCTGGGAGAACCCATCGCATCGACGATCTCTCGAGCGGGGTGTCGAAATCGGTGGGTCTCCCAGCGGGATAAGGACCACAGCTCCCCCAGTTGTGGCTGGCCTGCATACAGAAGACCGTTGTACAACAGTTCTAACAACATACAAACATGCACATATAAGCATAATAAGTATATAAAACGTACACAATTAAGCACATATAAGCACATACACATGAACGCATATACACATAGAAGCATAATACGCATAATAAGTTCACAGCAATTCTAACAACATTTCTCATAACATATAAACATCAGAAGTGCATAGATCATTGCCGCAGGGCGGGCTCGACGCTGCCGCGGCCGGCCGCCTCGCGGCCGCGCTCCGCGCTCCCGCGCGCCCCCCGTGCGCGCAGCCTGCGCGGCGGCGGCGCCGCCGCTGGCGCCGCCGCCGGGCTCTTCCCCGCGGGCGCTCGGGCGCCCCGCGCGCGCGCCGCGCGGCCGCGGCGGCGGCGGCGAGGACGCGCTCGGTCGGCGCAGCGCGCCGAGGCAGGGCGGCAGCCAGCGGCGACGACGGGGGCGAACACCCCAGGGGCGGGCAGTACGCGCACTCGCCCGGGAGCCTTTGTCGAAGGCACAGATCCTCGGCGCACCCGAAGCCATGCATTGCCCTCCCCCGGCCCCGAGCGTCGCCTCTGGCGCAGGGCGGAGCCGCCGCGCAGCGGCCGCCGCCTCTCCTCGAGGACTCCGCCGCGGAGCTCGCCCCCCGCCTCGGCGCGGGCGGGGGCGAGGAGGCCGCGGAGCCGCTCGTGGCTGAGGCCCTTGGCGGGGCGCTCGCCAGCGCCATCGGGAGCCCACAGGTCAACAGCCGAGGCCGCCCCCCGCGCGTCGTCCATCGCCTCCTCGGCGGCGGCCGCCCCATCCTGGCTGGCGAGGACCTAGATGACGGGAGTTTCAGCAGCCGGCGGCGGGGCGCCTCCTGCGCTGGAGGCGCCGCCCGCGGGGGTCCCCGCAGCGACGCCGCCGCCGCAGGGCACAGGAAGCGCGGCGCCGATGGCGGCCTCCTGCTTGCCCCACTCCTCGACGAGCTGCACCGCGGCCGCGACCTCGGACGGGGCCTGGCCCACCATCGCGGCCATGCGGTTGCCGAGGGAGTCCAAGGAGATCCGTCCGCGCTCGGCTGGCGCTGCCTCCTTGGACGCGAGGTGGGACAAATGGGCCGCCGCCACCCGAGAGCGCTCCGTGCTGAGAGCGGCGCGCTCGGCCTGCCACGCCGCGAACTACTCCTCGGCGCTGGCGAGCGCGGCCCTGCACTTGGTGAACAGCTCCTGTTTGGTTGCGCTGCGCTTGTCCAGCTCGCCCAGCTTGACGTCAATCGCCCGCGGCTGCTCGCGCGGTGGCTTGGCCTAACGCCGCTCCTCCTGGAGCCGCGCCATCTCGCCGCGGTAGAACGCGAGGAGCGAGGCCATGACCGCACCCGAGCTGCCCAGGCCCTCCGCCGCCCGCGGCAGCCGGGGCGCCCCTGGAGGCCAAGCGCTGCAGCGCCTTGTCCTCATACTTGAGGCCGCCGAGCTCAAGCCGCAGGGCCTTGAGCTCCTTGGGGGTAAGGCCAGCGGCGGCGCCCCCGCGCTGCCCGCGCGACGCCGAGGCAGAGGTGGAGCGCGGCCGCGCCAACGGGGGCCGCCGGGCGCCGCGCGAGCGGCAAGTGCCCCGCGATGCCAAGTCGCCCTTGGCCCCGCAAGGGCAATCCCAAGCCGCCTTGCTGCCGCCCCCCGTGCCGCCGGGGGGCCGAAATCCTGCTCGGCGGGGAGCCGTGGTGGCCCGCCAAGAGGCCGGCGCCCGCCGCCAGGCGCTCGTGGAGGCGCTCGCTCTCCTGGCCAGCCCAAGCCGCCAGCAGCAGCCACTCCCACTGACGATCGCGACGGACGCCGTGGTGGCTGGTAGGTTCGCGCACCGTGTTTGCGCTAGTCCCAGCGGAGGAGCTCGCGTGAGCCTGGCTGGCGCGCCCAGAGCCCTCGAGTCGGAACGATGAAGAAGAAAGCGAACAATAAGAGAAAGGTGATGATGATGCTGATGATGATGATGCTGATGATGATGATGGTGATGATGATGGTGATGATGATGATGATGGTGATGGTGATGGTGGTGATGATGGTGATGAGAATGATGATGGTGATGATAAAGAGAGTAATGATGATGATGATGATGATGATGATGATGATGATGATGATGATGATGATGATGATGATGATGATGATGATGGTGCTGATGATGGTGCTGGTGATGATGATGATGATGACGGTGATGATGATGCTGGTACTGATGATGTTGATGGTAATGATGACAATGATGACGACGATGATGGTGGTGATGATGATGAAGATCATGATGACTATGATAATTATGAGTACGATGATCATGCTGATGCGCTGTTGGTGGTGAGCATGCGCAAATTATGTTTACGAGTATGATGAAGATGTTGGTGGTGATGGTAATGATGATGATGATGATGATGATGATGACGATGATGATGGTGATGATGACTACGACAATGACGATGACGACGAAAATGGTGATAATGTGGATGATGGCGATGATGATGATGGTGATGATGATTATGAGGATCACGGTGGAGGTGGGGATGATGATTGCGGTGGTGATGATGATTGTGATGCTGACGATGATGACGATGATGATGGTGAGAGTGGTGGTGATCCTGACGATGAGGACGATGATGACGGTGGTGATGATGATGATGTTGATGATGATGTAGGTGGTAATGATGCTGATGATGATGATGCTGATGATGATGATGGTGATGATGATGGTGATGGTGATGGTGATGGTGATGGTGATGGTGGTGATGATGGTGATGAGAATGATGATGGTGATGATGATGAGAATGATGATCGAATGCTCCACTGCACGAGGTCTTCACCGAAAGCCACGATTGGAAAATAACCGGCAATAAAAAGTTGATGACGGGAGGCGCACACAGAAAAGAAGCAGCCTGCAGGAAGCAGCCTGCAGGAAGCAGATGATGATGAGAATGATGATGCTGATGATGATGATGATGATGATGATGATGGTGCTGATGATGATGATGATGATGATGATGATGATGATGATGATGACAGTGATGATCATGCTGGTACTGATGATGTTGATGGTGATGACGACGATGATGATGGTGATGATGATAAAGATCATGATGACGATGATGATTATGAGTACGATGATGATGCTGATGCGCTGTTGGTGGTGAGGATGCGCAAATTATGCTTGTAAGTATGATGAGGATGTTGGTGGTGATGGTAATGATGATGATGATGATGATAATGATGATGATGATGATAACTACGGCAATGACGATGACGACGAAGATGGTGATAATGTGGACGATGGCGATGATGATGATGGTGATGATGATTATGAGGATCACGGTGGAGGTGGTGATGATGATGGCGGTGGAGATGATTGTGATGCTGACGATAATGACGATGATGATGGTGAGAGTGGTGGAGATCCTGATGATGAGGACGATGATGACGGTGGTGATGATGATGATGTTGATGATGCTGTAGGTGGTGATGATGATGATGATGATGATGATGATGATGATGAAAATGATGACGGTGATGATGATTACGATGCCAAACACACTGCATTGAAAGTCATGCAGGCCTGCTGGCAGGGCCGCATCTCAGGTCAGGATTGAACAAGTATGTGTCAAGATTGACTCGGGTTCTTCTGGCTCTCGAGAAACTTGCGTCGGTTTCCAATTCAGCCACTCTCGTGTAGGCACATGGAGGACGCCTCGTGATGTCCGCAGGAAACCAAGCTGACTAGATCTTCGATCTCTCCTCCTTCCTCCAGAGAGGCGGCGGCGCACCAAGCGGGCCATGCCGCCAAACGGGCTCTGGCTCTGGCCCTGCGCGCGCATACGCAGCCCGCCGCGAGGGATAAGGACGACGACATCGACCCCCCGACCACCACGACGACCACCACGACGGCGACGACGATGACGACGGCGACCACGACTGTGGCCACGACGACGGCTACGATGACGACAACGACGACGGCGACGATGCGTGCGACGACGACTGACACTACCACAACAAATTACCACGTCGACGAAGGGGAAGAGGCAGGGGGGGTGACGAGGACGAGGACGACGAGCGAGGAAACTGCAGCAGGCGGAAGGGCACCAGGCGGCAGGGAAAGGGGGAAGGAGCAGGCAGGCAGCACGATATGGAGTCTAAGCTCGCCTCAGACGAGAGTCGTGCCTTCTGCATCGAGTCTGTGGTTGCATCACAGTGTCTTACCGCAGTATCTCCAAGACCGATTGGCCAGGATTCAGCAGTGATCCACACATTTTGAGGGCGAAGTGAACGCATACGCTGAGCTTGTGCTTGAACTGCGGCGCCTGAAATATCCATGGCGTGACGTCCTGCGTGCATTTAGATGTACACCGCCATCCCGCCAGAGTGTTATACCGAAGCGTTTTGGAATGCCTGTGCGGGACATTTTCCGAATCAGTTGCCCCGTTCAGCTTCCCTGATGTTTCCTGGCTTGTAACCGCATGCCGTTCGCCGGCGAAGCGCATGCACCAATGGGTAGCTCGAGCTGAGCCCTCGCCTCCGCCCCACCGCACGGCCAGTCTTGGAAGAAGGTGAGCATCGAGACCTCTGCAGCAAAGGAGCAGATGGAGCAGCCACAGCAGCAGCCTGCCACTGCCGGCTGGCCCCTGCGGGTGGCAGGGGCGCGCGCACTACAGTCGGGGCCCTGAAGAAGGAACCCTTTCGGTTGGGGAGGGGCTCCGCGTTCCTTAAGTGTTTCACAGCTTGCCTCAGGTTCCCTTATGTTTTCGACAGGAAATCGAAGTTTAACTTGTGGAAAAAAGGGGCCTCGTTCCTTATTTAGGGTTCCTTAGGTCAACGCCCCGACTGTAGGGGGAGCCCGCTTGTGACGGCCGCGCGGGAGGACCTCCTGATGCATAATCGCGCTGGCACGCGAGAGCCCCAGCGGGTGGGTCGGGCCGGGCGGGCGGACCCTGGCGGGCGCTTCGGGTCGGGCGGACGGGCGGGACGGGAAGGGCTTAACGAGCGGGTCGAGTCGGGCGGGCGGGGCTTTACAATATGATGCGTAATCGAACTGGCACGCGAGAACCCGATCAAACGGATCCAGTCGGGCGGGCGGACCCTAACGAGCGGGTCGGGTCGGGCGGGCGGAATTTGAACTGTGATGCGTGATCGAGCTGGCTCGCGAGAGCCCGAATGGGCGGTGGGTCGATGGACCCTAACAGGCGTGTCGGGTCGGGTCGGGTCTGATGGACCCTAACGGGCGGGACGAATCGGGCGGGTGGGACATCGAAACATGATGCTTTGTCGACCTGTCACGCGAGAACCTCAGCGGGCGGGACGGGCGGACCGTCGAGTCGGGGCGGATGCACCTCAACGGGCGAGTCGGGTCGGGCGGGCGGGACATCAAAAGTATAACACGCAGTGGAGCTGGCACACGAGAGCCCCAGCGGGCTGGTCGGGCCGGACGGGCGGACTCTAACGGGCGGGTCGGGTCCGGCGGACGGGCGGGTCGGGATGGGCGGGTCGGGCTGGGGAAGTCGGGAGGGGCGGGTCGGGCGAGCGGGACACTAAAGTGTAATGCGCAAACGAGCTGGAACTCGGGAGCCCCAGCGGACGGGTCGGGCCGGGCGGGCGGACTCTAGCGGGCGGGTCGGGTCGGGTGGCCCCAGCAGGCGGGTAGGGTCGGGCGGGCGGGACAGTAAAGTGTGATGCGCAATCGACTCCGAAGATGCCGAGGAACCTTCTACTCGAAATCTTCAGGCCTGTAGAAGTCTGAGGGGTCCAATGACGGGCCCCCCAACGTTGGCACGCACGCCGACAAGGGTACGGAAGAAATTGGCACGATGCCCGACAGCGAACGCTGTCCCAAACCAGGCTAGCGCCCGCTGTTGGTAGAGGCCTCCCAAATGGGGTCCAGGTAGGTGGGGTCGGAGGAACGCGCCGCATCGCCGATCCATCGGCTATGTATCGGCGACGTCACCGATGCATCGCCGCCGCCAGCGTGTCGAAAATCCAGCTCCACATCAAATCGCATCGCCGATGCATCGCCGATGCGGCGCGATCCTCCGACCCCTTCAATCGAAAAGGGGATCGACTACATCATTGTTTTACCTCATGATTGATGTTCCGTCGAATCTACGAAAATACGTATGCTCCGAGATCTACGGAGCATTCTACGCACTTTTCGCAGATCCGACGGGGAAGTCAGTTTCGGGGCAAACTTTGTAGTCGATCCCCTAGTCGAGTCTACTCGGACCCCACCTGGGAAGCCTAGAGTGGGCAGCGAGCCATGCTCCAACTGGACAGAAACCTACTGCCAGTCTCCACCTCCACTGCCCAGCGCCTCGCCATCGCTCGGACGTCCATTCCCCGTGCATGTTTCGGCTTCGTGCGCGCCTTTTTCGCGCAGGATGGCCCGAAAATGCTCCGCGACGGTCTCCGCCGAGGAAAAAAAAAAAAAAGAGGCACACCTCCGAGCGCTGCCAGACGTCCGACGATGCGTGTTTCTGTTATCCGATGCGCGGCCGCCCAAGGGCCCCGACCCCCTCCGGGGGCAGTCATCCGCTCTGCCTTCACTGCAGGGGAGCTGGGACACACAAATAAATACACACAAACATCCAGATTCCCCCTATTTCCCCTTCTTTTCTGGGTTTTCGTCTTCCCCCCCCCCCCCACTTCCTATATATTGTCCCCTGTTTTCCTGGGGATCGACGATTCATTGTGTCCGTGTGTTTTGGTTTCCCCTCTGCCTTCGCCTCTGGCCCCAGGGGGCCCGAGAACGGGCCCCGGAGGCCGAAATCGAGGAGTGACCACCAGCGCACGAGCGCGCCCCGTAGCGCGCCCCGAGCGCGCCCCGAGCGCGCCCCGAGCACTCAGAGACCGACCCCAATGCAAGAGAGCGAAGGGGCCCACAAACACACGAATAAATACTCCAGATTTCGTAATAAAAGGGAGGGGGTCTCAACCCTCCCAGACGAGAAGTTTTAGACCCCCCCCCCCGTGGGAGAACCCTCCAAAACATCGTCCCCAGATGGAGTACACACAAGTAACCGGATTCCCCAGATCGTTCCATGTTTTCTGGGTTTTTGCCCTCCCCCCCCCACTTCCCGGATTTCCCCACATGATCTGGGGAGTCGGCGATGAATGCGGTCTCTGTGTGTGTGGTTTTCACCTCCTGAGAGAGGGCGCTGGGCTGCGTGCAGGCAGGCGGGCCCGCCCGCGGCAGCTGCCAGGCAGGCGAACACATCGAGCAAGTGGCCTCGCCTGCTCCCCCTGCTGCTGGATAGAGGCCGCCTAGATGGGGTCCGAGTAGATGGGGTCGGAGGGTCGCGCCGCATCGGCGATCCATCGGCGATGCATCGCCAATGCATCGCCGATGTATCGGCGATGCACCAGCGATGCATCGGCGACGTCAGCGATGCATCGGCGACGCCAGCGTGGGGAAACACGGGCTCCACATCGAGCCGCATCGGCGATGCATCGGCGATTCGGCGCGATCCTCCGACCCCATCCATAGGGCGACGAGATCTATGCATATCCACTGCTCCTGGCCAGGCCAATCCTGGGCCCAGGAGCGGTGTATACGCCCTCCTGGCCTGGCCAGGGAGGCATATACACAGCTCCTGGGCCCAGGATGGGCCTGGCCAGGAGCAGTGGATATGTATAGATCCCGTCGCCCTAATCCACTCCGACCCCATCTGGGAGGCCTAGAACTGGAGCAGCCGAGGCCGACCGGCGCCCGGGGGGGAGGGGGCGCGCCAGGAGGCCGGTCCGCGGGGCGCACGCTGACCTGGCCGGCCGCGGGCTCGAGGGCGCTCCGCCGCGGCGCGCGCGCTCGGGAGGGCAGCGTGTCTGCCGCTCCTGGGCAACGGTCGTTACCGAAGGGGCCCTGGGACACACAAATAAATACACACAAATAAAAAGATTCCCCATATTTTCCTATTATATGTTCTGGGTTTTTGTCTTCCCCCCCACTTCCCATATTTTCCCATATTTTCTGGGGGATCGACGATTAATTGTGTCTGCGTGTTTTTTCCCCTCCTGAGTTACCCTGGGTCACGGACATGGCGGCCGCGGCGTGCACCCGCCAGGGGTGCGTCCGCGCCGACTGCGCATCAGTCGCCTCTGTGCACCACAGCGTGCACCCCCCCCAAGCAGGTACGATTGTTAGCGTTACCCTGGGAGGGAGGGAGGGAGGGAGGGAGGGAGGGAGGGAGGGGGCTTGGCCCAGGCAGCGAGCATTTCCCGGGGGAGGGGGAGCAAAAACTCACGAGCGGGATGGCGAAGTGAACCCCACCCTCCCCCTCAGAAATCGTGCGGGGCAGGGGCAGGGTTCGCCTGCGGCCCCCTGGCACTGGCAGGGCTCCGGCCACCAGCGCGGACGGCACCGCGCCGTGGGAAAGCCGCGTCGGCCTCCGATGGGCCCCGGGAGGCCGTCCGAGCAGCCGGCTCGGGGCGAGGGGCGGGGCCAGAGGGGGAAGGCGCGTCGGGGCGTTGGGCCCCGCCCCCCTGCGAGGCGCGAGGGGCGTCGGAACCCCGGGCCTCCACGGGGGAGCGGGGCGCGAGGAGAGGGGCGGGCCGCGAGGCGAGGCGGCTCCTGGACGGGGCGTCGCTTCGGGGGGGGGGGGGGGGGGCGATACATGGGAGGGGGGGGAGATATGCGCTTTTCGGGTCGTCGAAAGCCCCCGTGGAGGCCGTACGGCGCAAGGGCCCCCTTTTTCCGAAGCCCTCGCTGCCCCGCCTCTGATCGCCCCCCCATCACGCGACGCCGACCTGGACCTGAGGCGCTCTCCCGTTCTTGCATTCCCAACCATCCTGTGTGGGTCCTCGTTTTGACCAGAAAGCGCCCCGCGTTTTCCTTCCTGCCTCCACTCCTCCTCCGCCTCCTCCTCCTCCTCCTCCTCCTCCTCCTCCTCCTCCTCCTCCTCGTCCATCCTCCATCGTGCTCTCGGCCGTACTGACCCCATCCTCCATCCTGCTCCATGTCGACAAACCGCTCACGCGCTTCGTGGTCCCATAGGGAGCTCCACCGAAGGCCCCAGTGGTAGGGTTCGCATGCATCCCCCCGCCCATTTCGGCACACCCCTCAGACGCTTCGTGGCCCCATAGGGAGCTCCACCGAAGGCCCCAGCGGCAGGGTTCGCATGCGTCCCCCCGCCCATTTCGGCACACCCCTTACACGCTTCGTGGTCTCATAAGGAGCTCCACCGAAGGCCCCAGTGGTAGGGTTCGCATGCGTCCCCCTGCACATTTCGGCACACCCCTCACACTGAAGGCTCCCGTGGCAGAGTTCGCATGGGTACCCCGCCCATTTCGGCACACCATTCGCGCGCTCCGTGGCCCCATAGGGAGCTCCAGCGAAGGCCCCAGCGGCAGGGTTCGCATGCGTCCCCCCGCGCCCATTTCGGCAAACCCCTCACAAGCTTCACGGCCCCATAGAGGGCTCCAGCGAAGGCCCCAGCGGCAGGGTTCGCATGCGTCCCCCCGCCCATTTCGGCACACCCCTCACAAGCTTCACGGCCCCATAGAGGGCTCCAGCGAAGGCCCCAGGTGGCAGGGTTCGCACGCGTCCCCCCGCCCGTTTCGGCACACCCCTCAGACGCTTCGTGGCCCCAGAGAGGGCTCCACGGAAGGCCCCCGCGGCAGGGTCCGCGCGCGTCCCCCCGCCCGTTTCGGCACACCATTCGCGCGCTCCGTGGCCCCATAGGGAGCTCCGCCGAAGGCCCCAGATGGCAGGGTTCGCGCGCGCCCCCCCGCCGTTTCGGCAAACCCCTCACAAGCTTCGTGGCCTCATGGGGAGCTCCGCCGAAGGCCCCCGCGGCAGGGTTCCCATGCGCCCCCCCGCCCGTTTCGGCACACCCCTCACACGCTTCGTGGCCTCATAGGGAGCTCCACCGAAGGCCCCAGCGGCAGGGTTCGCATGCGTCCCCCCGCCCATGTCAGCACGCCCCTCGCACGTTTCGCGGCCTCCACGCGCGCCGCGCCGCGCCCCCCATCTCCCTCGCGGCATTCGCAGCTGCATATGGTTGGGGTCTTCGTCAGGCTAAGTTGTATATGCTTCCCGCCATTGGCCCCTCTTTTGGACGCCCGAAATGGGTACGGAAAAGATGGGTGCAATGCCCAACAACAAGTGTTGTCCCAAACCAACAGCGGCCGCTGTTGGGCAGGCGGCCTTCTGTCTCGAATGGACCCAGGCCGCGGCGGCGTGGACAGCGAATCCTGTTCAAAATGAACAAGAACTGCTGTTGGGCATTGTACCCATTCTTTCCGTGCAGTCGGGGCCCTGAAGAAGGAACCCTTTTCGTTGGGGAGGGGCTCCGCGTTCCTTAAGTGTTTCGCAGCTTGCCTCAGGTGTTCCTTATGTTTTCGACCGGAAATCGAAGTGTAACTTATGGAAAAAGGGGGCCTCGTTCCTCATTTCGGGTTCCTCAGGTCAAGGCCCCGACTGTACCCATTGCGGGCGTCCAGACCTCTGCCGTTTACCTCACCTGCTCAGTCGTCCTGCCGGTCTCCTCTGGCCTGACAGCTGGCATTCCACCTTTTCCGAAGCCTGCCGGGGCCCGCCCGCGGGACGCCGCAGGCTCCCGGCACCCTCCTGTGCGCAAAAAAACGCACAGCGAAGACAAGTCATGTGCGCCGAACATCTGGCGGGCGCCACTTGCACGCGCGCCGCGCAACTCTCTGCCGTCAATGAAGGGGCCCTGGGACACACAAATCAATACACACAAATAACAGGACCCCGCGTACTGTCCCATGTGTTCTTGGTTTGGGTCTTCCCTCCCACCTCCCATATCTTCCCATACTTTCTGGGGAGTCGACGATGAATTGTGTCTGTGTGTTTCTTTCCCTCCTGAGTTAAGATTTTCTGACATTCTGAAATCAGGGGGTCCGAAGGGAGCAGGACGACGTCCCTCGTCGGTCCCTGCACGCACGAGGCGTCGAGGAAGCGTTCCAGAACTCTCCTCGGCACCGCTCCTCCGCACTCCGAGCCAGCGCACCCTCGGTCCGCACGTGCGGACTCCATTGTGCGCAGTGACCTTCGCACAGTGGTCGTTTCTCTCTCTCTCTCTCTCTCTCTTCTCCCTAGCAGGCTCTCGACCACTGGGCTGCTCCCTGGGGACTGTCTCAATGGCAATGCTCAAGACTCTGGCTAGGCGTTTCCTGACTGCAGGTCCTGTGGCTGTTGACATCTCTACACGGCATCTGTCATAATGCGAGACTCTGAATTCGTCCGCCAAGGTCTCGGCTGCCTCCTCAGCAACTGCGCCTGCTGAGTAACACGCTGCGTCTACTTACTGCTGTAGAGCCTCCTCGGCTGACAAGTGGTTTTCGACCTTCGTTCCCCATGTGTCCTCAGGATTGGTCTGATTTCCTAGGGTTCCCCAGGATTCCTCGGGACCCCCCACGGTTTCCGCAGGAATCTTCAAGGTCCCGCAAGAATCTTCAGGATCCCATAGGAATCCCACCAGCCCTCTGGGCGTAGGTGGTCTAGGGAGTTTCCTCTTCCACCCCCCGTTCTTCTCCTTCGGGTAGGGGTTCACCCCTCCCCCGACACATCCCCCTGGACCTGGACAGGGGCGGTCGCGAGGTGTCAGAGGGTTCAGGGGGGCCCAAAGATGGCACATGAGGCCCCCAAGAGGGCTCCCAAGACGGACCAAAAGGGCTCCAAGATGGCTCAAGGGGCTCCCAAGACGTCCCAAAAGAGCGCCAAGAGAGCCCCAAGAGGAGCCCAAAAAGGGGAAACCGAAATAATATTTCGAGCCTTTCCCTCAAAGATGGCTCCAAGAGACCCCTCAAGGCCCCCGAGGCGCCCCCAAGAAACCCCACGTCTCTACGAGGCTCTCAAGAAGCCCCCAAGGGGCCCTCAAGAGCCCCGAAAGCATCCCAGATGTTCCCAAGTCCCTCCAAGAGACCCAATCTGGGGGGTCGGCGGAATGGCGCAAACCACTTGAGAATCCACGTCTGGTGATGACGTGCTGAGCGGCAGCTTTTTTCGGCGAACGCCCAAATGCAACGTATCCAATGTATCGAATGATTGCGCAATTGCTACATATTGCATTGCGTTGCGTTATTGTCTCCCCCTAACGCCCCTGGAGTCGCGCCACATCGTCGGACCAAATCTGACGACCCCCATTCTGGGGATCAGAAACGTACCAAAACGTTCAGAAATTTAACATATCGGCCTCGTGGGCCACCTCCCGGAGGTCTGGTCTAAGGGGGCTGTACGACGGTTCAAGACGGCCTCGCGACGGCCCAAGACGGCCCCAAGACGGCCCAAGACAGCCCCAAGAGGGCTCAAAAGGCCCCCAAGACGGCCCCAGAGGGCCTCAAGGGAGCCCCCAAGAGCAAATCCAGAAGCCAAAAGCATATATGTTCCTCTGGCTTTTGAAAATTTAAAACCGTTCTCGCCATTTTCATCTCTCGGGGGCTCCTGGCAGCAACCTCCAAGCTGGCGCCAAGACGGCCGCAGAGGCCCCCAAGAGAGCCCCCAGACGGCCCAAGAGGACCCCAACACCCCCAATAGTCCTTAAGCGGCCCCACAGAGGTCCCCAAGAGAACCCCAAGAGAGCCACAAGGCTGCCCCGAGAGGCCCTCAAGACGGCCTCCGAAGGGGCTCAACGGCGCGAAAGCGCCCCTGGTGGCGCTGGCAGCGCATTGGGGCGGGCAGAACGACACGGCAGAACAGCGCGGAAGACGAGCAGGGCAAACCACCCAACGCCCAATCTTAGCGTGCTCGACGTGCACCCCGCGAAGCAAGAGGAATCCGCCCACCCTCCAGACTGAGGGCGTGCGAGACTTCACCGTGAGAGCTCCTCCCGGAGCTTTCACGAGCCCAGAATGTATAGCAAATGCCCTATGTCTTTGGTGACTTCAGTCTCGCTGGGATTTGCCCAACCTTCAGCGCGTTCTGGTGTCAGTGTTGGACGATTCTGTGCCCAAGTTGGGCCATGAAACGAAGCCCGAACCGGCCTTGAGCTAGCCTTATGTCGGGCCTGTCCCCCTACAGGGGGATTTTCGACGAAAAATAAAAAATCCCAAAAGAAAATTCAAAAAAAAATCCAAACATAGTCTGGGGACTATGTTTTGCGTATTTTTGACATTTTTGGAATATGTTTGGGGTATTTTTTATTTTTCGTCGAAATCCCCCTGTAGGGGGACAGGCCCGACTTAGAGCTAGCTCCATTTTTGATTGCACTCGGACGGCGCTGCGGCCCAGCGCGGAGGTGCCGTCGCGTGGGCCAGCCAGAGGCTCCCATGGGCCGCCTTTCGGGCCCTTCTCGGCCTCCCTTTGGGACCCTCTCGGTGCCCTCGTCGGCCACCCTCAAAGCGTCCCCCGGGCAGTGCTCTGGCGATCCTTGGCATCCCATGGATAGGGAGCAAGGGTCGGGCGAGCTGGCGTCAGTACCACTGATCCGTCGATAATGATGATGCGCCGGCGTCTCATCGACGAAGTCAGCACTGCTCGGTCACACGGCACAACTGAGCCCAATCGGCGATGGGATGGAGCAGAAAGGCAGCACAGGAGAGATATCAAGCACACTTGTGGGGGAGTCTGCCACCGTTTTCAGAAGATTGGCATCTCGTCTTTGTGCCGTCTGCATCTCTTCTGGCGAGAAGTGGAATGGGCGGGCGGTGAGCGTCGGGAGCGGCCAAGAGGGGGGGGCCCAAGAGGAGGGGGTGCACATCAAGACCAGCGGCACGTGCGCGGCCCAGCGGGGGGGCCAGGGACGTAATGAAATAAGAAGAGGCGCCGTGAAATCTGGGGAAATATCATGGCCCTGCCCACGCCATGATATCCACTCCCCCCTAGTCATCACCCCCCTCTTTGCCGCCCCCGAGAGCGCGAGGCGTCTCGAATCCACGTCTGGAAGTGACGTGTTGTCGGAGGCAGGTCGCGGAGCGGCGCGAGAGCCCAAACGCAACGTACCCCACACATCCAAGTGCTGCAGAGTTGCTACGGGTTGCCCTGCTTTGCGTGATTATGCATCCCCACCGAGCCCCCCCCCTGGAGACGCGCCCCATCGGCGGACCAAAGCACCCCCTCCCTCCTCCCCTCTTGGGCCCCCAGGAACGCACCCAAACTTGTAGAAAACGAATGGCGTCAGCCGCTGGGGCCTCCTGGGGTCCCATAGGGCCTCAGGACGGCCCGAAAACGGCCCAAGGCGGCCCCAAGAGGGCCCCCGAACGACCCCAAAACGACCCCAGGGGGCCAAAAGGTTGGCCCCCAAGAGCACCTCCAGAAGCCAAAAATATGAATTGTCTCTAAATTTGAACATCTGTTCACACTCTCCCCGTTTTCGACTCTCGGAGGCCCACAAGGCTGCCCCGAGAGGCCCCCGAGACGGCCTCCGAAGGGGCCAGACGGCGCAAGAGCGCCCTTAGACGGCCCAAGAGGCCCCCAAGAGGCCCGCGGAAGTGTATACGCACCAGTGGCGCGCTCTTGCTATGCTCATTAGAGTGAGAACTTGGCGTTGCCTCGTGCTGGCACGCAGTGGATGCTCATTGCCCTCGTGGACATTCGCACGCTCGTCCCGGTGCTGAAACGGGGGGTGACGCATCCACCTCTGGTGGCGCTGACAGCGCCTTGGGCCGGGTAGAACGACACGGCAGAACGGCGCGGCAGACGAGCAAGGCATACCACCCAATACCCAGTCTTTACGTGCTCCAGACGTGCACCCCGCGAAGCGGGAGGAATCAACTCCTGAAGGTCTTCGCGAACGCGATCAAGAACGATTGAGCCAGATTCGGGGGAAACCAAGCCAGATTTGACCAAATTAAGCCCCACATTCAGCCAAGCTCAGCCTAGGCCAGGTCAAGCGAGATCTCGCCAGATTGGCGACAAAGGAAAACCAGGGCCAAAGCTGAGCTGAGCGGCTGAACCCCACAGGATGGGGGGAACCAAAGGAGAAACCGGCTCAGGCGAGAAACATCGAGCTTAAATCGGAAATGCGTCGCCGACAGATCGGCGATAGGCCCCCGGTAGCGAATCCATTCGTTCCTGGGC